ATCCAGAGGGACATAATGTACTTTTTACTTTGCTATATTTATCTGATTATCTGCTAAAGTCACTAGTTACTTTTACAGATTCATACTTATTGTAACGTGTTGTTAAAGGAATAGTTTTACATTTTCTTGCCAGGAGTTAGATAAGAAAATCAATATGACCCTCATGTCATGTACGCTAAATATGAAGCCACAGCAAGCCGCTTAGCATAGCTTAGCATAAAGACTGGAAACAGAGGGAAACAGCTCGTCTGGCTCTGTTCAAAGGTAACAAAACCCACACCTTAAAAAGGTGCAGTGTTTAACATTTAGGAGGATCTATTGGCAGAAATGGAACATAATATTCATAGGTATGTTTTCATTTGTGTAGAATCACCTGAATATATAATCGTTCTGTTTTTGTTACCATGTTTGAGTCCACCATGTTTCTACAGTGGATCAGAACAGACAAACCAAACACTGGCTGTAGATTGGCCTTTTGCATTTATCACAAGGTACTGTCTCCTTTGTGCTTCACTGCCCATTCTCATTCCCAGGTCATCAATTACAGACGTGAGTGGTGTTCAGTGAGTTGCAACTTTACTGCTAGATGACAGTAAATCCTACACACTCGACCTTTAAAGCTCTCTAGTGAACTAAAAAACCGAAGTGCAAAAGTTAGACTTGATGAGAGTTGGATGATAAAACTGAAACTGAAACACAGTCATGTCTGTACACTTCAGTTTGTGTAGGAGATATAATGACTTAATTAGTGAGCTTGAGCTTTGGACGGAGCCAGGCGAGCTGTTTCCCACTGTCTCCAGTCTTTGTGCTAAACTAAGCCAGTCTAACTCTAGGCAACAAAGCGAATAAGCCGTAATTCCCGAATTACAAACTAGATTAAACCAGCAAGCCCCAATGTGAACAGTTACGTTCTAAACCCCTCAGACGGTTTAATTCAAGTAACTGTTCAAGGCCCGATATTTAAAAAAGCAAATATTAGTAAAAGATGAAAAACTGAACACAAATTTGTGTTACAGAAATTGGTTCCTTCTTCTTTCCTCTCCCAATAATCATTTCACGACCCCTCAGATTTATCTTGTGACCCTTTGATCAAACTGTATATAACTTAAAGTAGCTTCATCACAATCAGCTACAACAGGAAAATACAACTCAAGCATTAATGCATCAGTATTAATAATCTTATACTGTTATATAATATATCAGCCACATTGGGCAATATCTCTGCAAAAAAAGCACTTTTACTTGTGATAATTTAAGAACACGTTGCTCATAATACCACTGTACTTAAGTATGTTTTTTTAATTCAGGACTTCTACTTACAAAAGAGAAATTTTACATTGTGATATTAGTACTTAAGTAAAGTTATTAAACATAGCAGAGTGATCTATTTTCATAAAACTCTCTGTCCTTCCCAAGCAACATGACTGTAAAAACACTGCGTTGTTGTTCTCATTTAAACTCCAAGTGTCTCAGCCAGAGGTTCAGTCTTTGGCTACATCTGTTGAGACATTCACTCGTGAGCAGTTCCTCTTCCTGTTCCTGTCCCCCTGACTGCTGCTGCTGTCGACCAACTGTCACAAAATGACAGCGATGTGACATATAGTCCTTCGACTGTCATAGGCTAAGTTCATGCATGTAGGTCATAGCGTAAATACTTAGGGGTTGGAGCTGGTGCTTCCCCTCGTGCGTTTCAAAGTTCCCGCATCCTGGAGTAATGACGTCGACGAAATATGGTCCACATGTAAACAAAGCTGACTGACCTGCCTGCTTAAAACCGCAGATGTCACCACTGTGTTCTTTTTGGGTTATTGTTGATGTTTTTCTTCTTCTTCATAGCAGCTATGGAAAAATACGACTATTTGTTGCATCTGATACATGATTGTGGGTTCGATTTCACTGATGCAACACTGAATCCGTGACAGAAGCACACACACAAACATGCCTGTCAGTGGGCTTTGGGATTCAGGTGAAAGGTAAGATGTGGTAAACGTGTGGATGCTCACATTGTTAAACTAGTGTGGGTGGTGAATGTTTTCATGGCTGCCACCATCAGCAACACACCCTACTTCCTGTTGAGTAATATGTACATGTCAAAGCCCACACATGACTACTACTATATCAAGCTGGTATCCGTGATTTCACGAGTGTACGTCTGAGTATTTACTGTACATTTGTAGTCGTTTACTTTGCAGCAGCTTGTAAACAAAACGGCGTTGTTTCATTTTTAAAACATTCCCCCTTCAGGCTGTCTTACATGCAGTCATAAGATCAGAGGGAAACAATCTTCCCACAGTTTTATCTTCCTATCACTCTAAATCCAAATTCACATCCATCCCCTCTTAATACATAACATATGTTACTTTGTTTCAACCCTTTTTGGTGGGACCTTGCATTTGAATTGGGATTAAAGACCTGAATATAACCTGTTGTAACTGTCAAGGACTTTTTACACAAACCTATCGAATGACAAAATCAGTCAAAGGCTGCTAAAGTGTTCAAATTTCAAAGTTCACGCAGAGCTGGTTTAATTAATGTTCATCTTTCCTCCATTTTACCGAATACGTACATTTTCTGAGATTTTCACTTCAACAAAAATCACAGTTTTTTAAGGCCTGGTTGTCAAAATAAAACAGGATGTAGGTTTAATCGTCCAGTGTGTCAGAGTGTCTGGTAATCTAGGAAAGTTTTAGAGGAGAGCTTTGAGGAATAGTGCAATGGGTTGAACTTTCTATATTGATGCACCTCGAAAGAGATCTTCCTTTTTTATAAAGTCCTGCAATAATGAACAACATAAGAAATACCTGAGGTCTACCTGTCTGTGTGCAGGCGCTGGTATGATAGTAGTGTTCAATAGTTAAATCAATGTTGGCTTTTATCTGGTGAGACTGAATGATTTTCTTCATGTGAGGAGACCCTGAACGACTGGAAGGACTCTGATTAGGGGGAAATGTAACTAGTAGAGAGTATTTTACTCAGTATTTATTTATTTATTTATTTATTCTTTTAACCTATTAAAATGTTATTTTGCCATCCACAACCTCTCCCCTCCTTATCTGTCCGAACTCCTCCACATCGCCAACCCTTCCCGTTCCCTCAGATCTGCCTCCTCTGTCCACCTCTCTGTCCCTCCCGCCCGCCTCGTCACCATGGGGAGCAGGGCTTTCAGCCGCTCTGCCCCCCAGCTCTGGAACGCACTCCCACCGGACCTCAGGAACCTGGACTCTCTCACACTCTTCAAATCAAGATTAAAAACTCACCTATTCAGAACTGCCTACCCCACTTAACCATCTACATTGTCTTTTCTTATCTGTTTCTTATTTCTTGCTGTTTTTTTTTTTTTTTTTTTGTGTTGTACGGTGTCCTCGAGTGCACAGAGAGGCGCCTCTAATAATTTAATGTATTATTATTATTATTATTATTATTATTTTTTTTTTTTTTAACTTTAGACAATACAGTTCAGAAGGAAATATGATACTTTTCTACTCAGCTACATTTACTTTACATACAAATCACATGAACAGCTTGTAAAATGTGATGTATTGTTCTAGATTAAACTATATTACAATATATTAAAGTCAATATTTTTGCTAATTCTCAACCAAATAAAACATTTTAATGATGTGCATCTGTAATATTAATACAATAATACAAATATACTATATATCATATTATTTCTAGGGCATTTCTATCATAATAGCATGTATTTGCATTGTGGTATTGCTATTTTTAAGTAAACGTAAGCGTATGTCCTATATTACTGCTTTCTTTTATCAATAAACTACTACTATTGAAAAATAATCAGAATTTGGTCACATTTTAACATAACAGGTGTCACTTCTGAAATAGTGTGTGCTGAATAAACTTTCCAAATGTATTCTGGGGGATCACGAAGTGGTAAAGCAACTCATTTATTTTTTTGAAACAGTGATGAAATCTTTATATTTTTTTAATTATTTTAACATGAGAGGCAACTAAACCATCTCAATCACAATTTTGTCCCAAACAGCACTTAAACATTCAGCTTTTTTCCCGTCAGGTTCCTAAAATTGTGTTAAAAAAAAACAAGTGGAAAGTAAAGTTCTTAATTTACATATTAATGTATAAATTGATTTGTTAATTATACATCATTACATTGCTCTGTATCAAGTAAGGAAATATTTGATCCCTCTGCGTAACGCATCAATTAAACTTTCACACACGGAGTGTATTGAAATGAACTCTTGTCATTTTGCAAGGATGGCCTGGTGTTACACAAGATATGGGCAGCGACACTTGCAAGTCATTTCTGCACGTCACTTTTCACTGTCATCTACAACAAAATAGCAGAAGTGAACAAAACATGTTGAAATCTTGGTGCACTTCAAGACATGGATCATGTTCGGATCCATTTACCGTAGCTCAGGCGGTCTGGCTTCCCGTTACAACCCATGGTCCGGATATCCGGTGTCCCTTTCACTTAGAGGAGGAACTGTAATAAACACACAAAATCACAGTGTTAAAATCACCCACACTTAGCAATCGTGTTTAGAAATATGTGTGTCAATCTATGTTTTAATTGTGGTTAAAAATATGACACATGTTTGGCTGCTTTCCATAGAGTATATCAGAGTTTAGGGGCCTAGACATCTTGACCACATTTTGGTCTTTGGTCTAGACTCAAAAATGATAAGAAAGTCCACGTTGGTCAATCGTCTTTTGCTTTAAAATTCTTAAGAAGTGAGCAAACAGGGTTTATATAACACATATAAACGATTCTTTAGAACACAACAACCATAATAAAGAAAGTAAAACTTATCCACAGCTTCAAATATTTCTACACAACCCATTTATCTATATATCGAAGTGTCCTAAATTACTCTAAAATTAACTACAAGTCAGTTCAAGTTCTCTAAGTTTGGAGTCACATGATCATTAATTTTAGCTCTAGTTATAAGTCAGCCTGTGACATGAAGTGGATGGATCCTAAAATGGAAGGAACAACACAACTGAGTTTCTCTTTTAATCTGTTTTTCTTAAAAACTGACCAGAATCAAAGTTGACTCCTGGTCTGTTCAGTCAGATAATAAAAACAATTTAGAGTTTAATCAGGTTAAAAATAGCCAATTACGTTTCGTCTGCATTTACTTTAAGATAATTAAAGACATTAAAGGAAAAAATGTGCAGAACAACACAAAACAGGACCCAGAACAGAGCTTTGACGTACTCCACAGCTTAATTGTAATCAGGTGGATGTGAAACTGCAAAAAAAAAAGATCTGTGTATCTGGGAGATAAAATAGAACAAAAAGACCCAAACCAACATTTAAGTTTACTAACACGTGTTGTCTGTGTGGACCAAAACCTGATATAACTTATTCTTCTGTGCCATGATGCTCCATTACAATTAAAACCACACCAATGAGGCACACTGCTGCACTGGGTGATAGGTGTCTTCATTATGATGAAGTTTATTTTGATTCAATCCCACATTCACTGTCCAGCTGGAGCAACAAATGAAGTTTGCTAATAACTGCAGTATCCAACTGTTTTAGGAAATTACTGAGCTCTTTCAGTAAAAATGAAAGTATGTATTTGTGATCTATTTCAAAATATTAATATCTTCAGTAGGAACCAGCGAGTGTGTGTGGTTGAGTTCTACAGACAAAGGGAAGTCAGACACATACTGAGAGAAACATATGGAGGGATGGACGAGACTAACGTGCAGTTAGTTTAGGTGTTTTAATGGGATTTGGACACTGTATTAAAATGTATTTAATATCACCAGCCCTTTTGTTTTTAGATGCTTTAATAAACTATGTAAAAAAAAAGTAGTTTTTGGCTGCAAATTGAAACCAAATTAACAGATAATAGTAATTTCTATGTCATTATATTATTGTAATTGGTGTGATAATAAAGAGACGTTATGAAGCAACTGACATTGCCTCATTGTGTATACTAAACCAACAACAGCTGAAGGTTCGTTCACTTTCATTACTGATTAATGGTTTTGTCTATAAAATGCCCTTTTATAATTTCACACAGACCAAAGTAACGGAGAGATTCAGTTCACTATCATGTGTGACAAAGAAAATCATCAAATTCTCCTATTTGAGAAGCTAAAAACAGCAAATATTTGACTTTTTCTTGCTTAAAAAAATGATTACAACAATAATTCTACAATCAAAAAGAGTTAGAGACCAACTAATCAATAACTGTTGCAGCTCTTTACATTAATGTGAACTTATACCTGTTTTTAAATTACCTTCCATGTCCATAGTGTAATTTTACTGGTGTAACGTGGTGCAGTCAGCAAGAAAATCTGGATATAAGGATATAAAGATGCGTTGTCATCATTAAAATTGGTGATTAATTTGGAAAATACGATCTGATACAACGTTGAAGGAAATGTTTTTTGAGGAACAAAAAAACTACCTATAAGCGTCAAAAGAATATACTAAATGACTCATAGGCAAAAACTAAAATCCTTCAATTTCTCAACAACTAGTACAGAGTGAACATTGGAGTGACAGGTGTGTGTGTGTCCGTGTCTGTGTGTGTGTGTGTGTCTGTGTGTGTGTGTGTGTGTGTGTGTGTGTTTGTATTGCTTTATCAGAGGAGTTTTTTTAGGAGACCAGTTGGCCAGTGGAGGGGCTGTGATGCAACGAGGAGTTTACGGACAGACACTGCCCATTGACGGTAAAATGAGGAAAGGGGGCTGGGCTAAACTTTGAAGAAAAGAGGTCATCCTGTGTGGGAATTTCCCTCTCTCCTGTCAGTGTGTGAGCCAAGACCAGGGAAAAGACTGCGTGGGGCTCAGTTAGGAAACAAGGGGTCATCGAAGAAAAGAATGCCTAGAATGTGTGATTGAATCTGTGCCAACACTGACAGCTTACAACCGGAGCAGCGAGAGCAACATCTGCCCTGAAAAAAGTCACAACAACAGAGTGTTGGATGCTAAATTATTAACATATACTATCTCACACATTACTGCGGTTGTGTTAATTGTGCTTTTATTTTATTATTTTGTTCCCAGTGCAGCTTAAAGCCAGGCCACAGCTACTTACAGTCTATTGTCCTGTGTGCTGTGGAGGATAACAATGTCTTATTTAAAATGTGGGTGTAGCATTCTTCGAATGATGATGTGTTGGAAAGGGAGGATATTGCACAACAGTTAAAAGCTAAACTGTTCCATCATTGAGTGTGTTGAAATATCCACTATATTCAAAATGTCATCCCTCACAGCATAAAACATCAGTTTTTATGCATTTTTTGGAGGCTATAACATAACTTTTCAGCGCCATTGTACATGTCTCCTTATAAAACACTAACAGAGGTTTTTTCTTCTTTTTTTTAACTCTTCCCTGTTTGAAGTGAGAGTTAGAAAACAATCCCCACCCTGAAATATCATGGATCACATTCAAATCCCACCGTGCCTCTTTTCTTTATCCTCTCTGTCTGGGGTTTGCTTTGCTCATTGCAGATATGTTTCACTTTGTGCACACAGTGAAATGCACTCTGAGGGCTTGGTAAATTCCACTGCAAACCAATTGTCAACTTATCTATCATGTCTGGTGAAACCTCCTTTGTCACTCCCATTTCTAACTTCTACATTTTCTGCTGAGGGTTTTCCACTTGAGGCTTGAACAAGGTTTGCTCAGGATTATTCATATCTCTCTAAGGTCTTGGCTGTTGAAGCGAGACCTAAAGGTGGTGTGAGGAGTTTAGTTGCTGATTAATTTCTATGCAACCTTGAACCTCTCTCTGGGCCAGTGGACCCAGCAGACTATTGACAGAGCCGTGTGCTAAAGATAAAGCTAACATTTCTGTGCTGCGTGCAGTGTGACAGAGTCTTCTTTTTTTTTTTTTTTTTTTTTTGCTGCTCTCAGCAGTATCGTTTCAGTATAAATTGGTTGGTTGGATATATTTCAGGATCTGAGGACTTGTGTGTCAAATCAATGAGTAAACACAGATTTAAGTTACCCAGTAACAGTGTGGAGAGTCTGTTACTTGCTTTCAATAGACATAAACCAAATGATTTTCTATTGTATTTAAATGTAACAGAAAAACAGAATTTCACACATTAATCCTCATTTCATGTTCTCGATACGGAAACTGAGGTTTCTATCTACCACAACTGTGCTGATCCAACCAGTGAAAGCCATTTTCAGCTTTGTGGGAACCATAAATGATAACGAATGGCGATGATCCGAGGAATTATTAAAAATGTCTGTAGCCTTACTGGTGACGACTAGATTTATAAAATTAAACTCAACGTCTAAAAAGAAACCTGAGATTCCTACAATATGTTACCGTCTCTTTCCATTTCGGTATGTTGGCCTAAATTAAAAGATTGCAAATGTGCCTTACTGTTGAGCCACTTGTTATCTTCACTATAACTGAAATACATTGTAATACACAGTCTGACTATCATGTGAATATTTAAAGGCAAGCATGTCTGTCTGTCTCAGCCTACACCTGCTTCAAAAAAAGGACAGAAAAAGAAGAAATTACAAATGAAATTGATTAAACAAAGTATAAATCTGTTTAATTCAATAAAATATCAAGTACAATTAATGCATTTCCCCTTTTAATATTAAATAATTAGACTTATTTCATTCATTGCCAATACTATTACAAAGAGTTGCATCATTTCACTGCAGCACAACTCTTCCCTTGACAACCATTGCTCCAGATACACACAAAAAAATGTAGAAATTCACTCGCCTGTATGTAAAACCTGCACAGAAAATACTGCATACATACACACACACACACACACACACAAAATTACATCTGAGAATAAAGCTACAGTGACATGTGAAGAATCGTGAATGATTGCGCAATCCATGCACCCACTTCTTCAGTCCCATTCAAAGTGTCTTGTAAACTGTGGTCACTGTCTTCACTTGTGAAGCGTACCGTTTTTCAGCATTAGCTCAGTTGATCACCTCCGGCTCTAAAGTCCATCAATGATTAGACGAAAAACCAGAGATCTGTGTGGAGTCTCTGGTGGAGGTTTTTATATATATATATATATATAAATCTTAACATTGTCCGGTGGCAGAGAGCAAGTTGCGCAGGGTGGCCAGCTCTCTGGACAGCTGCTCTACGCGCTTTTGTAAACGATCGTTCTCCGCAGCCAGTTCCAGCACTTTATGTTGAGTCTCCAAGTTGCGCATTTTGGCTTTATCCCTGCTCTTCCTCACGGCGAGGTTGTTCCTCTCCCGCCTCACCCTGTACTCTTCACTGTCCTTGTCCAGGCGCTTCTTTGATTTCCCGCTTGACATTTTGCCACCGTGCGACGGCGACCTGCTTTTACCTGACGGGGCAGGTGTGCCGGGCGGGCTGGAGCAAGTGGAGGACGCGGTGGAGATGTTCCCAATGCTGCCGCTGGTGGACTGGTAATGAAGGTAGGACCTCATGTCAAAACCAGACGACCCGTTCTCCATCTTTACGTCTTCCTGGCTGTCGTCTCTCTCAGCAGCAGCGGCAGCGGCGGCGGCAGCGGCAGCGGCAGCTCTGTAGCGACCCAGTTCAGGGCTGAGCACACTATCCACACGGGTCTCCTGCAGCTCCGCGTAACCCAGCGCGTAGGGCTCCCTGGGGTCCCTCAAGTTGTCGCACTGACTCGACTCCAGCTCGTTCAACAGCGAGTAGTTCTTGTAGTTCTGCAAAGCTGCAACTCTCTTGATCTTGTTCTCCGCCAGGAAATCTGAGAAAACGTCCCCCTGCTGCTGCTGCTGATGCTGCTGCTGCTGCTGCTGCTGCGGACAGTGCAAAGCAGAGTCCAGGTAAACACTGAAGTCTATCGCTCTCTCCCGCTCCTCAATGCCCAGCTCCGTCATCGAGTCACCGAGCCTCCAATATGCGCTGTTGCTGCTGACGGGACTGATAATGCTGTCTCTACTGTGGATAGCAAAGCTGCCCTCGTCGTAGAAGCCGGCCACTTCCATGGATCTTAACACCCGCCGGATTGCAGGAGCATGGAGGGCTGAGATGAGACGCCCAAAAAGTCGTGTGAAAATGAAGCGAAATTGTTTTTAAATCCCTTTTTTGGTGTCACTGCCTGTGACAAACACGCAGTTAAAGTACTTTGAAGAGACTATGCGCATAGATTTGTTGGGAGGAATTTGACAGGTCTTCCTGTCTCGGGGGGTTTTAGTAAAGAAGCGAGGGGGCGTGGTTTACTAGGGCAGGTGTGTGACGCGCGGCGAGTAACCAACCGGACAACCTGCGGTGCTTTTAGAGAGGAGCCCGCGTTTAATGTGAGGTTAATGTAATAATAATAATAATAATAATAATAATGATAATAATAATAATAATAATAATAAAATAATAATAATAAAATCTGTTTATTTATGGGGCATTTGTGATCTGTGGTGCAGACTTTGGGTTGCAGCAGCAGAATAAGAGAAGAGAGGAGGAAAATGCGATTAAATTATCATAAAAGAAAGAAACTGAGGCAACAAAAAAATAAAATAAACTTAATTTAGAGCTGTCATAACAACATAGTTTTTAAAACCCCAGTGTTTGATGACAGCGGGTCCATTCACGCCCTCTACTGTCAAATCTGTCAGACAATAATGGAAAAAACCAACTCAGTGGCAACCATTTTCTACGTTCAAGCGTAATCATTTCATAAGAATATACTCATAAAAAGCTGCCCCATGAACACATCTCCAGACTGTTGTTCCACCACAACATCCACGGGCTGGTTTTAAGCAGTCAGGGTGTTGTTTGTGTTGTGAAACTGTACATGGTGATGCATCAAGTATGAGGGTCAGAGTGGGCGTTATGAGAAATTTAGTGCGTCTAGTTTGTTTTAAAACTGTTCCATGTGTACACAGGTGCCAATATATACACAGATATACACATGCTTTCAGGCTGTTCAACTTTACTTACTTATTATCCTGTTACATGCGAACCATTCGTGGTCAGAGCTGAGGGGAGTTTTTGGATTTGATGTGAGGTCTTATCGCCATCTTGTGGTGAACTGTGAGAAGAAGAAGTAGATATGAGTGACACATCAGAGTTCATATAAATGTTTAGGAGGTGTGTATCTCTCCATGAACTGTTTCACTTCTGTGCAGCCAAAAACACTTCTCTGGTTGGGTCTTAATAATATCTCTTGCCTTTTCCCAGGAATCTACACTCTCTCCCCGTTTTACCCTTTTAGAATCTGTGACTTTATTGTTATATATGTATTTTATTTCTTTATATTAACTATCTTCTGTTACCAAAATACTGCAGCTCTATAGTCAGGCCATAAACAGTGCCAGATTAACATGATAGGAGACCCTGTTGTGCCCCCATTGACCAGCTACTCCCAGACTTTTGTATGTGTCCTGCTGCCTCTGGTTTTCAAGTCCAGTGACATTTATGCCCAGAAATTAACCAGGACCCATGTTTTAGGATAACACCATCTGACCCAGGTCTTAAAACTACATGCTGACACAAAGTCCCTCAACCAAACCAGGCCACATGTTTATCTTAGTTGGTCTGAAAGATGGGACTTCTGAGGCCCCTGGGTTGGTAATCCAGCCTTGGACACACATTTTGAAACACTCAAAAGGTCCAGTGTGTAGGATTTAGTGTCATCCTCTCTCTTCCTACAGGGCGTCGGAGAAACAACAGTGGGCGCGAAACAAGTGTGATTCCACATGGCTGCCTCCATGGAAGAGGACCTGCTCCCTCCGTATAGATATAAAATATTAATTCTCAGGTAACAAAAACACAACAAGTCTTATTTACACTAATGAAAACAAACCTATGAATATTATGTTCCATTTCTGCCAATAGATCCTCCAAAATGTTACACACTGGACCTTTAAAAAGGGTCTTTACTGTAGTCTCCATCTATAAAGTATTCAGCTATAAAAGCTGTGAAATCAGATATTTTAGGTGGAAACAATCACAAAAATACAAAGTCTGTGTGAATTTTGTCAGCTGCTGCACTCACTGCTGGCTGATATAGGAGTGGTGTAAAGTAACTAACTACTTTTACTCAAGTATTGCCCTTAAGTACAAACTCATACTCCACTTTATTCGTGCATTTGGAGAGTTACTGGTTACTTTGCACATTCATATCTTTCATAAAAATATAAGCTTAAACAATAAAACCCAGGGGAGTGAATGAAAAACAGCTTTCAGTATCGACGAGTACATTATTTTACTGGTACACACTTTACTTGAGTATTTCCATTTTATGCTTTATTTGCTTTCTCCTCTACTACATTTCAAAGGGAAATATTATTTATTTACTCCACAATATTTAATCTCCACTATATTTAACAGCTATTTAAATTGGAAATCATCCTCATTTCTTTTAGCTGCAACCAACATTTTATAATCACAGTATTTTTGTTTTAAGATAACACTGCTTCCTCTTCAGAGCAAAATACTTTTAAATAGTTGTATTTAAGCATTCAAAGAGATATTTCTTAAATGTTCTGATTGCACAAGAAACAAATGAGTTTCAGCTATGAACCTGTGTGGTGATATATGGGAAATTAAAACTCTTCATCTTCTAGTATATCACCTAAGTTAACAGTAGTGTACAGCAACTCTTAATATGGTGTTAAGAGCTGTTATGTCTTTAATGTATGGTGTCTTGTTTATTCTCCTGTACAGCACTTTTGTACAGGAGAATAAACTTCATTTTAAAAGTTACACTCACTCAGTATCTCACCAGAGCTTGACGGATGACAGATGTCGCTGTCACACCAACTCCACTTTGTAACCATAGACAGTCAACTGTTTGTTTGTACGTGTGTGGAATCAGGTATACACAGAGAGAGCTCCATCTACCGTGCATCCAGCAGTAGTGTTGCGAGCAAAGCGGGCACCACACAGGACGGGTGGGGTCAGGAAATGCGGTCTTTCCCCTCGCAACCCCCTATTGGTCACTCGGCTGTCTGTGGAACGTTTTCCCGACCGGTGATTGGCTGCTGCGCTCAACGGCTTTCACTTGATTGGTCGAAAACGCCACGGTGTCTGTGGGCTGAGAAGTTGATGATTCCGTTGGTTCCTGACTGTGAGTAGAGAGAGAGACTGAAGGGGCAGGGCCCACAGTGGAGAAATGGCGAGAATGGTTAACGAGAACAGCTGTGAAGCGGAAACACAGAGCCCAGAGCCGCAGGGACCGGGTCGGGGTGCGGCAAGATGGGGTCCACAACACGCCGGTGCCCGAGAACTGGCCAATTTATACTCACCAGGTGAGTCAATCCTCTCAGCAGCTGCGTCTTATGGGCTTGTTCCCCCGGTGCAAGTGCCCATGAGTGGCGTGACATAACGACAGGCTTTACATAGCGTAGTTACCAAGTAACAAACTGGGGAGGAATAAAAACTACCAAAAAACCACAAACAACAACGCCGGTTTGTCTTTTAACTGCTCCGGTGAAACGACACCGAGCAATCAGCGACAGTTCAGCGTTTGGTCTCAGTCACACTTTTGTTGTTACACAATAGGAATCATGTGAGATTGGTTGGATTTGTGTTTTGAGTCGCTGTTGTTGTTGTTGTTGACACTGTTGACATTTGGAGCATCAGGCAGAGGTTTAGAAGAATCCACCGCTTCTGCTTTAGGCTCAGGCAGCCTCGTTTTGGCCATGGAGCCACTGTGACCTTTTCCTAACAGTGTTTTGCTGCTAAGTCAGCCCCATAAGACTGCAACACAGAGAGCAGTGCGTTACCAAAAACACTCAGATCTTGGCCATTTCCACTGTTGCCAGTCCACCCCACCACCCTCCATACCATTTGGACCTGACAGGGCCTTTGTACAAATACTTGATGCCTTTTTTGAGCTCCTCCATGTCAGTTGAGGACACCTGGATCAGACAGCTTTGACTAGTTGGTGAGCAGACTTCTTCCTCCCAGAGGGGCGGTGTAGTGTTACCTGGAGAAGTGTGTGTACTTTTACATATTTAGCTCACCCTAAAAGGAGCCAGTAGTGTTTGCAGATTGTCACTGAACCTCTGCAGCCTGATTTGAGGCACAAAAAGAAAGTTTGCCGATATGAATGAAAGCAGGTTTTTATTTCAGTGGGTATACTCAATGCTAACTGAGAAATAAGTGGGTCTACTGCTTATACCTGTGCATACCCTGAACTACAGCTCTGCTTTTGTTGGCGATTGTAGCTGCTATTAAGATTGTAGCCACCTTTAAGTTGTAATATGTAGACAGGTATTTCAGGTGTTTTCACCCTCACTGGGTGTCACCGTTGTGAAGAAGCGTTTCATTTGCATTATGCTGACTAGTCTACTAACCTTTGGACATTTTGGTTTAGATTAGGTGACATCATATCAAGTTCAGGTGCTATAGACTGATAATCTTATCTTAAATGTTGCTTATAATGACTTTTGCTTCATTTAATCACACTAATATGTCTGCTGGTGTGTTTGTTTTCTTATCTTTTAAGGCAAACGATGTCAAGAATGGATAAGTGTTGTCCTCTGTTTCTCTCTCATTGCCTTCAACTTCATTCACCTACTTGCCAATTTCCACCTGGGACATTCGTGGTACATCCTGTTGAGCATTGGTAAGAGCTGACTGGATAGTTACGTAATGTTCTTGATGTTGTATAGTCGTCATGTTCTGTTCTGTTGTTTTTTTTCCAGAGCTGCTGTCCAAACAAGTGTTGGTTAATCTCTCATCTTTCTCTTCCTCCTCACACTCATTTTCAGTGGCAGGAATACTCACCGCAGACTTTGCGTCTGGACTCGTTCACTGGGGGGCTGATACATGGGGTTCAGTGGATCTACCCATCTTTGGAAAGGTAACACATGAGTCGATTTTTCCCCACCCTAGAATCCATTGTTTGTACCGTAAATAATCTGTTTAAGAAACATTTCCCTGCATTTACAGTGTGTATTATTTCTTGTTTTACGCCCTATCTGTCCTGCAGGCCTTTATACGACCATTTAGAGAGCACCACATCGACCCCACAGCCATCACCCGTCACGATTTCATTGAGACCAATGGTGACAACTGCATGCTGACCATAGTCCCTCTAGCAAACATGGCCTTCAACTTCCTCACCCTCTCCCCTGGTGAGTTTTCTATCAACAAACCGAGCCTGACATGTTTTTTTTCTACATGAAAACGCAGTCTGATTTTTCTAAACAGTTCATTCAAAATAACCACCCTCTTCTCTGTCTCACCCTGTTTCTGTTTTACTCTTTGCAGCGGAGGTTTACCATATCTACCCCTGGTACTGCTACCTGTTTGCCCTTGCCATCTTTGTGACCCTTACCAACCAGATTCACAAGTGGTCCCACACGTACTTCGGCCTGCCTCGCTGGGTGGTGCTCCTCCAGGACTGCCACATCATCCTTCCCCGCAAGCACCACCGCGTCCATCACGTCTCCCCTCACGAGACGTACTTCTGCATCACCACAGGTTTGTCTTTATTTCCTTATGGGGGATTAGAGATGGAAATCAGACTGTACGTAGTGACAGTTTATGGGATGAGTGTCGTGCAGATTTGTCATTGAGGTTTTCTCTCTCCAGGGTGGCTGAACTACCCGCTGGAGAAGCTGGGTTTCTGGAGGAACCTGGAGGATCTTATCCAGAGTGTGACGGGAGAGAAGCCCAGGGCCGACGACCTGAAATGGGCTCAAAAAGTCAAGTAAAGCTGCAGGCTAACTGCACCCTACCTCAGAAGATGCTGGCTCCGTCCAGGCTTCTCATCCCCTTTTTTGCCTCACTTAAACTGTAATCCGTAGAAGGAAAAACTAACAAACGATTTCTGATGCCATAGCTTTAAGTCCTGCACATTTTGTCTGTTTTTCAAGAGGAGGGCTCTGTTGATGGATTTTTTTTTTCATTACTCACATGTGGAGATGATTTCAAATTGCAATATATTCATAACTCTTCCTATGTCAAACGCAAACTCATCACTTTTTTTTTTGAGGTGATTTATGAATGCTTCTTTGCTAAGAAGGTATGATCAGACACATAATTTGCTATCACTTTCCAAGGAGATGAAAAGATTTCTCTCACGTCAGAAAATTCAAACAATCCCGAAAAAGAATACTTCAAAGAGTGAGCACTTACTTCTTTCTCCTCCAGAGTCACAAATGTTCTTTTCAAGAGTCGATAAATCTAGTTATATTTAGCACTGCTTTATTATCTCGGGATCAGTCGTTATCACCTTTTCAAGGGTCTACTTGATGTGCAAGTTATAAATTTGGATTTAGGCCATGGTAAGTAGAAGGGTTGAGGTGATGCAGGGTTTTTTTTGGATGCTTTACCAATGTTCATAGCTAAAGAACAAATTAGTTAATTACTGTTACATTTGTTGACCTCTTGCACATTTGGGTTCAGCTGCACATTTACGAAGCTATTTTTCAAAGAGAGGTGAGGACAACGTGTTCACGAATTCGATTTTTTTTTTTCAATACTAACCAGTGCCCAATGTTGTTTCTCGTAACTTGCTCACACAGCCATATTTAATAGTTTTGTCATGGATTTGTCAATCTGAGACAATGACTACAGTTACAGTGGAAGAGCCAATGCTAGTCCAAATCTTCCCCCCAGGATGCAAAATGACAGGTCTGACTCCTTAGAAAGCGGGTAACAAACCAGAAAAACAAACTCAGTTCTTTCAGTCAGACCCTAAATTGGCATTTTGATTGGAATTAAAACACTTGATGATAATGGGAACACAAAAAATTTGTAATTTTCTCTAAATTGATGTAAAAAAAAGTCAGAAGTGTAACTGTAGTCGGCGTCAACTCTATAACAAAACCAGGGCAAATAAACACGTGTATCATGCTGTTGTTCTGCTGAGTCAGTGTGGCCCTGCTAAGTAGTCTTGTCAGTTGATCACATGTCCGCTGTGAAAAGCATTTTTAGCTTTTATGTGACTGACAGTTTTGCAAGAAAGAGGCACATGCAGTTTTGTCAGGCTGCCTTACACAGCACAGATGCAGTACTTGTCTTTTTGTTGCTGTTTTGTTTCATTTGCAGCACTCCTTCGTGTTGTTGCAATGGTAATTCTGTCTTTCTGGGATTTGTGTCTCAGTTAATCAGACACAGATACTCTTCTTATGTGCCAACTGTATGTAACATTGTTTTCATTCCTGCTATTGTTTTGTATTGTGGAAAGGAACAGTTTCAGAGCGTAACATTCCCCGTGAGTTATGTTGCCACTGTGTACCGTCTTGGTAGCTGTGACAAGCAGACTTGGTGATGTTACAAGGGCTTGGGTGACGATCCAGGAATTTCTTCACTCCTATAGATGAGATTATGTAATTAATTAATGGGTTGCGAGTTTTTTTACGCTTTAGTCAGCCATTTGTAAATGTATTGTACAGCGAATAACTATGCAGTTTAATAAGAGGCCCTTAACTATACGTCTTAACTCATCTGATTAGGTTAAAATGCCTTTCTTTTTCTAATTGTTTACACATATTTGCTAAGTTGGAAAACTGGAGCTTAAAAATTTCAGTACTTAATAAACTGCATGGCAAAATTACTTTTACTAATAAAGATGTCACTTACACAGACGTAAGAATGCGTGCATGCATACAGCATGTCTGCTTGTGCAAGCAATACACTGGGTCACCAGCTTTCCTTTGAGCTTGTGTAAAGCAGACACCTGAGTAGGGAGGGTCGTGCTCGCTCCAGATGAAATTTACTGTGCTGCTTCCAAAAGATGACCCAGGTTCGAACCACCAAAATGTTATCTTCATTCCAAGGAAATCCTGGCAATGATTTTTCAGGTTTAAACGGAAGGAGCTAACCTTGCGGTTCAGTTGGGTTGACCAGGTTAAAGGCTGAATTATTAAGCTTCTGGTGTTATACTCAAAGTAGACAATTAAATGATAGTAATAGTTCATCTTAAGCCAAATTATGTTTTATATTATGTAATATTCCAATTTTTGTAATCCTTCATACTTGATTATATAAAATGATTCACCATAGGTCAACAGCATAAGTACACTGCAGATTGCATAGTGCTTGTAGAGTTGCAAGATGCAGTTTTTTTGTGCGCTAGGTAGTGTAAAATATGCAGGTAAATGGAAGCCGTGAAAGTTTAAGGCCTGCGTTAAAAGTTCTATTTGATCTGTATTGGGAAAAAATATAGTTTGGGCTCCGCTAGCTGCAGTCAGTAGACACATTTGAACTTTGACAGACACGTTATTTTCTAAGCAGGAATTCTGGCGTTGGCTCGACTGGATATTTCAGTGCTTTAGTAAATGCCTTTTTGTGATGATAAAGTAAAGTAATGATGATTTTAAGGATGTTGTGTGTTTTTGTAATACTGCAAAATAGGACAATAGCTAATTATAATGGTTAGAAATTCTATATAACATGCCATATTTAGTTTTTAGATTGACAAAACTGACAACCTTTTAAAAAATATGTGGTGAGCTCGTAAGGAACTCTTAATCTTTGCGTGGAGACAGACTTGCTATAATTGCAATTTTTTGGTCATAATTGGAGTCTGCTTGCGAGTTTAGATCTAACAAACATCGAGTTATTCTTCATTCTTATTCTCCAGATGATCTCAGGATTGTGGTTAGAGTGATTTAAAGTAGTTATATATGAATTTGTGGGGGAAAAAATAAAGTAAAACCCCTCATTAGCCAGTTATTTAATAGATAAAAAGTTGTTTAAATTATAAATTTCCGTCAGATTCTGTTGATTCAGATTCGGCCGTTTTTTAAATGCGTTATAGATTCTACTGTAGCCATATATCAGTACGGTTAACTCGGCCTCTTGTTATTGAGGTAGAAACTGTAATTAAGCTGTGTTTGGTTTTTTGCTTTGAGACAATGGATCAGTGGATTTGAAGGGTATTTTGTGATGATGTGTGGTAAACTAAATATTTTCCCACTGGAAACCACTGGTAAGTGGTGTGAGCAGTCGTCGTTGTTTGAAATCACTTTTGTAATGATCCTTGGATTCCTTTTTATTGAATTGCCTTATTCTCTCCCTGATTGATTTACTGTAAATCTTGCCAGCGATATGGGAAAACAATTTATTGATTGAATTTAAATTGCCCTTCATTGCCTCTCGCTTCTTCTGAGGCAAGACTCATATGGATGTTGTTGTTGGTTTATGTATGCTGGTGGTGATGGAGTTTTAGATATCAGAATAATGCCTTGATGCCTTTTTGTTGTCTTCAATTCAGGAGACTTACAATGTATATATTAAACTGTATTTATAAACTAAATAAACAGTTGATAATTACACTACCTGTTTTATTTGATAGATGTCTTTCTTTTTTCTTTGCTTTAAAGATGTTGTTGCACATACTGTGTATTTACGGCCTTCCATGTCCCTCCCTCTGGCCATGATGTAATAAAATTTAATATAAGCTGGACCACAAGATTTCTTTTTTTTTTCCAGTTGTTACTTTTTTTTTTTTAAATAAGATTCTTTTTTTTATTTTGTATTAATATGAATTTAATTTGGCACAAAATAATTGTAAAGGTCACAGCTGATAAAAATAAAGCTTGTTTCGGGCCTTAATTTTTAGTTTGGTATGATGGTTTTACATGAAAATGTATAGAAACTGTAATTATGATGTTAATAATTGAAATAGTTTCATAATATTGTGCTGCTTGTAGTACCTGTATGTTGAAGAGGACCTCCAATGAGATGTTTAAGACCCCTGGTCAAGGAGGACAAGAAAGGCAAAGGTATAAAAATAAAATAAAATTGGTTAACAGAGAAATTGTAAATGTTTTTTAGTAAAACTTTTTGTCTACTTTGACAAAATGCCTGCTGTGAAAAAGGCTCATTAGGCATTAATTAATGTGCGTCTATCAGGCCTATTTAAGGCAGCCCTGCTTCCCCTGGTTTTGTTTGGTCAGCTTTGCAGCCTTCAACAGAAACCCCACAGCTTCCTTCACACCCCATCTTATCTAATCTAAACAGATATTTATTTGTGTATTTAAAATAATCACACACAGAGTCGTGAAGCCTTCTTGATTTTAAGGTGTGCTAGAAATCTTAAAGAACATACACAGTCGGCCTGTATCTCTCACAGACAAGAATATATGGCATATGTCAAAAAGTGTTTAAAAAAAAATACACAATACAGATAATCGTATAAAAAGTTCCCTAAACAGGAAATCATCTCAAAATTCACCCAAAGCACTTGTTATACCCAAACATCCTCCACTGTTGGGGCAAATTGTACAGTTTTATATGAAATACACATCAAATATGTCACTTAGTCAGCAGTCCTCAGTTTCCCTAAATGATAGAAAAGGCGTCCCTTGAAGAAAAAGGTTGGTTTTCTAACAACACTGGTCGGTTGAACTCTGTTTTAATTCCACTTTTCACAGCAGCCACATAATGCCACCAGGCTGTCAGCCAGCAGGGAAACAACAAAGGAGGCGCTGCTCTGCGTTGCGCGCGCACGCAGCGTTGACCACAATGGCAAAACAACGTGCGCGCTCCCGCTGTGCAGCGACAAGATGGCGGTCGCCGCCCCATCAGGTAAATGTACGAGAGAAATAAATCACAATGAAACGCCGTCGTTAAATAATCGCCTCGGTTAATTTTCAGCATGTTGTTAGAGAGTTCCTCAACGAGGTGAATCCTCCAGGTGGGCAGCTGCTGTGTGGACGGAGAGAGCCGCAGCTTTACGAGGGGATGAATAGGAAGCGGTGCTACTAGCTAACGTTAAGCTAAAGATGAAGTTGGACAGGAGATGTGTGACTAACGTTGCCGAGCAGGTTATTTCATGTCGTGTGATGTTTTGCGGGGGACATTTGAACGCCACTCGCTCTATGAGGTGGTGTGACTCTGTCGGGTTTCATTCATTAAAGTGTATTTGGTGGTAATGGTGGTCTACGTTAAAACCACAGCACCGCCTCCCCTCGCGTCTGAATTATGTATTTTTTGGCGACGTGAATTTTGCGGTGCTGAGTCTCTGACAGCGGGTCGTTGACGTTGGATGTCACCAGTGTGTGGCGGTGCATCGACATCCAGCCTGCAGACTATTAAACGTCAACAATGACAGTACGGTTTTCTCAGACTTGCAGCTAATGAAGAAAACATGATCTACGCCGGGTTTCGGACACGGGTTTCGGTGAAGGGCTCCGGTGAGCTGAGCTGAACGGCTGCAGCAGCCGGCAGTGTGACTCGTTTTGTTTGCATGGCTTTGTTAAACGGTGCAGCACCATCATATCTCACTGCAGAGGCCAAATGATGCAGCATAGTCGGAGCCAGGTGCTAAATTAGAGGACATGAGTAACATCTGCTATTCTCTAAAGGCTGGTAAACTCGGGCCTTCCTTTATTTTCCTGTCACGTTTTGTGTGTCTGGATGAGTCATGACACCACCAGCTCACACCTTTTTTATTTTATAACTGCAAGTCATTGCTCTGGGCAGCTCTTGGTGAGCTTTGAGGTACCCAAATCCTCCAGTCATGTTGGGAAGTGTGCATGTCTGACACTGTAACACGATGACAACTTTGGTTTTGCGTTTGTCCACCAACAGGCGTTAAAGTTCCTCGCAATTTCCGGCTCCTGGAAGAGCTGGAGGAAGGCCAGAAAGGTGTAGGAGATGGGACAGTGAGTTGGGGTCTGGAGGATGACGAGGACATGACCTTAACACGATGGAGAGGAGTGATCCTTGGTCCTCCAAGGGTGAGTGACACCTTTTTTTTTAACCCTTTTATAGTGGCCAGGAGTTTAGCAGACTAATGTAACCAAAAGGTCTCAGGTTTGATCTGGGCAGCGTTGTTTGGTCAGTGTACCAATCAGGACCTATGAGTGATGAACAGGAAGACACAGAACCATTAACCTTTGCACTAGTTGTACACGGCTGTGACTAAACGCACCAGCTGCTTAAACTAAATATAAAGGGAGATGCAAAAGGGATGGAGCGTAAAGAAGGATGCTACATTAGTTGTGTAAGTGAACTTAAGGCAGCAGCACAATAAAACACTGTAGTAATATAATATAATATCACAAAATGACAGGAAGCAACAGGTGGCACATCATAAAGCGCAGTCCTCTGTGTACATCAGAGAATTAATTCCTTTTTGAAAGTCAACATTTTAGCATCGATTCTTTCTTTCTAGGTTTTTTTTTTTTAGTTTAGCTTGACAGCCTTTGAGGTCTAGGTTGGTACAAGTGCTATTCAATATGCATCTGTAATGAATATAACTAGAAGACGCCTTCAGGACCTTTACAGAGGACTGTTAACCGATATACAGCAGGCTCAGCCCATCTCTGTTCGCTTGAGTTTAACATATTTACTGTTCTTATGGAACCGTTACATTTTAACCATAATGATAATAATATAACCACAATTTTTTTTGTTAAATACATTAAACATTGTGTGCTGTTTGTTGATGTTTAATGTGCTCTCCACTCCCCTCTCCCTACTCTTTTCTATCCACAGACAAGCTATGAGAACAGGATGTACAATCTGAAGGTTGAATGTGGGCCAGAATACCCAGAGTTACCACCTTACGTCAGATTTGTGACAAAGATAAACTTGAATGGCGTTCACACCTCCAGCGGTGTGGTATGTACATTTCCTGAACCATTTGGTTGTTATTCTACCTTGATGCAGTGTTTTAAAATGGACGATAACGCCCTTGATCCAGTTCTTGCTGCAGTGATGAATACATTTGGAGAAAGAATTTGGCCAAATTTGTCCAAACCCAAAATGAACTTTGCTTGTGTTGAAGAGTGAACACACAATGAAAAGATGTTTTTCTGGTCACATGCCTGCTCTGTCAGCGCAGATAAGCAAGTTCCTGTTCTAAGTGCATGAATCAGTCCTCTGACTTCTAATGCAACCATTGCATTAATCTGAGACAAGAGATTAATATATGTGGTACATCTTCATTTAGGCATTTTGGGGCACTTTCACACCAGCAGTTTAGTCCAAATCTGACTTAAAATCTTGGTAATATGGCCACTTTATACTAACTTGATAGGCGGCACAAGAAACTGTACTGGATCTACCTGAAGGAGGCTACCTTAGATCATTTCCACTCTTAAATGTAGTATGTTCATTATTCTCAATTTAGGAGCAAAGGGAATATCCAAAGTCCAATAAAATATATGGACTTAAACAAAAAATAAAGCTACTAGGACTCCATGATCTGGTAAAAAGAAATCATATTGCAATTATGTTGACAGACATTTGTTGGGGTCCAAACAAACATGATTTCTTACATCTGGAGAATAGGATTTGTAGGTCAGGGCATCTCTGCAGCACTACAGTACTTCATTATAATATTTTGATTAATTGTGCAGCCCTAGTGAAAACTTAGCTTAACATAAAGGAAGTCATCCACAAGACCAGCACCATCTTAAAATGCAATTCCTAGCATTTATAAAGGTAAAAGTTAAGATAGGCGACTGTTTTGTAGTGATGGTGATGTCCTCAGAAACCCTACACGGCGGGGTTTATGAGCTTTGCGGGATCCAGGGTGTAACTTCACATCCATCCTTACTCATTCTCTGTCCCGCAGGTTGACATGCATGCGGTGACTGCACTGGCCAAGTGGCAGAACTCCTACAGTATCCAGATGGTGCTGCTGGAGCTGCGACGGCTCATGACGTGCAAGGAAAACATGAAGCTTCCTCAGCCACCTGAGGGCCAGATCTACACCAACTGAGCCCCTGATACTTTTACCTCCATCTTTTTCTCCTTCCCACCACCCACCACCCACCCCCACTCCCACCTCTTATGTTTTGCTTTCATCCCTTTATCCCCATCCTGCGCCATGTGACATTCCACCTCCTGCTGACACCTTGGCTGAGCACACACACACACACACACACACACACACACACACACACATACACATATACATATAGACCACTTACACACACACACACAGCAGAAGTTAAGTATAAAATAACAGACACATAAAAACACACAGCAGACCTAGTTTACCACAACAGATACAGGCAAACATACACAAACACACACGCGCATATATCTCGTATACACACACTTACTGAGTGTTCATGAAAGTCATTCCAGGCACTGGCCCCCTTCCTCTCCCATCACTGGAGCTCTGGGTGGACTCGATGTGACGAGGCAGGCGGAGTCCTCAGTCCACACCAGATCCGATCATTCGAATACTGTACATGTCACTAACCTTTTTTTATTATTATTTGTTAAAAATGCAGATTGTACAATAACATAAATAATCTTATTGAGTGTACCTCCTTTTGTGTGTTGCCTTTTTGTAACATTGAAAAACAGCCACTTAACATAATTGCACATTGTTTACTTAAACGTGTGGTTGCTGTTGGTTACAAGTTCTTTCAAGGTGTACATATGAAACCCAAAATCCCATCTAACTTGGCAAATAATGTTAAATATGTCGTGTCATGTGGCCAGATGTCTAATGAACTATTTCCTTCAGTGTGTGTTGATATGGGCTTGCACAGAATATGACTGCAGCTCAGCAAGGTGCCTGGAAGTGGTCACACATTGCTTTCCCTCCCTTCTATGTAAGAGTTGTCCAAAGTGAACATTGTGTACAATATCTATACCACTATATCTGATTTTAGTGTGCATTAGTAGCATAGAATGCAAATCTACTGTAGGTCTGCAGAAGTCAAACCATGCTTGAAAAAAGAAGTGAAATCAGCTACCTCTTTTTGTCCTGTGTAACGTCCAGGGAGTTATCTGACTTGTGAAACTGTCTTTGCTACTTTATGTGACAATTTGTTTTACTTTCTCCACTTCTTTCATAAATCTTAATTCATGCTTCTCATGCAGTTGTGTCGTCGTAGATCACTACGTTTTAGAGCTCAAGGGTTACAGGTCTTATGGAGGTATTTCTACATAATTTGCTTCATGTACAGTTGTTTATCTGGTAACTTCTGCCCTCGAATGACGAGCAGATTCAGCAGAAATGTGATGCAAGCACTTTTAGAGATCACTTGAAGTCATAGTTCAACAATATGTCTGTTCCATTGAGGTTTATTCACTTTCTTCTAGAGTTAAACTTGTCTATAAACAATAGATGATGTTAGAGCCAGCATGTGGTTAGTGTAGCTTAGCATAAAGCCTGGAAATCAAATAAATCTAAAGCTTTTTAATTAACCTGTTGTATTTTATTCAATCTGTTCGTAGAGACTGACCAGGCCAAGAAATAGTTATTGGTGTCAGTGGTCATAACCTGACAAGAAAGCGAGTAAGCATTACTAAAATATTAAAGATAATAAAATAGTAAAACAAAAGAATAAAGATTTTGCTCCCAGTTAAGCTGTAACTGGATCAACAGTTTCTGCTTGTTGGTGACACTAAATACAACTGGAAGAGGAGGTTGCACTTCAACAAAGCGATTCTTTAAACTTTAAATACACTGAGTTTGTGTGGTTAAAACTTATAAGTTACATTTTACCATCTAAATATAGTAATTAAATTAGATGTTAAATACCCTGACTTAATTTTTTAAAAAATATTTTACATTAAGATTTTACAACTAAATAAATGAATAAAACATTACAAATACATTTTCCCCCTTTTTTGCTGGGGACCCACTGAAACCTCCTTAAGGACCTCTGGGGATCCCCACTTTGAAAACCACTATACTGTGTTATATGTGGGACACACACGCATATATTATCCTTTTAAATAATTTTATTGCCTTATGGCTGCCCTTTCTAAATCACTTTAATTCCTAGAGGTATATGAATAAACTTTATTAATATTATAGTGTTGCAGCACTAGTGTCACTGAGGTGTAGTGACATTACACCTTCCTGTAGAGACATCTAACTCAAGTCTTATTTGAGGTTCACCTAAAGTCCACAGGCAAGAAAACTAATTAGTTGGTACAAGGACAAATACCGACGGGGGGGTTTACCAAATGTTTATCTAAAATACTCGTCCAGCAAAAATAAAGTCAAATGTAAGAACAGAGGTCTACATCTCCCTCTGTAGTCAGTTCAGCTCAGTTCACACATTTAACAAGAGGCAGATGTGGCCTTTTAGAGACTAACTAACCCTTCTCACTGTTGAATGAATATACTGTAAAAGTTAAAAGCAGGGTCCCAGATAGACGCAGGTCCCCTTTACTAGTCTAGTGTGGCTACACAATTTGACAAATAAATGCAGGTCTCAGTTAGACGCCTGGTCTGGATTTTATAGAAACTCTTTGGATGTATAAAACCTGTTAAAGCCCACCAGGTCAACCACTTTAGGGAGTTCTAAGCTGCTTCGATCTTGAAACCATGAGCACCAAAGTATCAAATGAATGATTTGTAATTGATATGGTATTCAATAACCTACAGATATTTATAGAAGTCATAAATATACTGGTTTAAATACATAATTTGATAGTTTTGTGCAGAAGGAATTAAAGAGCTGTCCCAAATAAAGGCAGGTTGAGTTCAGTGGTTGAAGCACATACAAACCTGTGCTATTAATTGAAGGTTTCCTGTAAGTGAACTTCTTGCACAAGCTGTATGTTGCACCTGAGACCAGCAGGGGGCAGTGCAGGCCAGGACAGTCAAGAACAACTACTGCAGCACATTTTGTTTTTCTGCTGGAGCAGGTACATGTAGGTGGGCGAGAAAATGTCAAGGGAACCTCGAAGAGTGCTCCAGCACTGACTTGACCTAATTAAGAGGTGGGTGCAGTAAAGCCAGCTCTGTGGATATATAGACACTGCCCTCTGTTATCCAGTGGAGCTGATCAACGGCTGGGGTGGACTCTGACCTACCCATGGGCCATGTGATTCCCATCAGTGTATGTATGTAAGAACAGCCAAAGGAGGTCTGTCACTAACCTCTATATAAGATGACAGCAAGTCTTATTCAACGCCTCCGGGGACTGAAGAAACTTGTAAGTACATTCCCATGTCTAAAAGGAAGCTTATTTTGCATGTGAGACAGTGAGTGTGTGATTAACACTGTGTTTTCTGTTCCTCTAAACCATGAGAATCTGCACTAAGACCACACTTTTCTCTCCATTATCTCAAGTGACTACATTATTTAAAGATTATTTAAACAGTTTTTTCCTTCTAAAAAGCCTTTCTTGAACCAGCGTGGATGTATCATGTGACTCATTATTCTGACTTGGTTTTGTCCATCATCATGAGATCAGTGTGTGACAGAGCATGGAGGCCCATATGGTTTGTTGGATTCCTCCACAACGTGTGAAAGGGATGTGAGAATTGTATCAGCTGCTTGAAACACGTACTGTGGCTGTGAACTAAAGATGACAGATGTTTTTGGTGGTTTTGAGTTTCTGTCAGGAGAGACTTGGTGTCTCTCTCTCCGGCTTTATCTGTGAAGAAAGACGTTTGCCCTTGACTTGGCTACATTAAAGCACATGAAGTTGTCTACTGATAATGAACAATAAACTCAACTGGCCTCAACTGACATTTGCTCTCATTCAGGAATCAGCTGTGAAAGTACATTCACTTCCTGTACAGTGCTATTTTAGACACTAGAATATTTCCATTTTATGCTGCTTTTGCTATGCTATGCTTTATACTTCCAATACTTACATACACACAAAATATCTGTTCAGTACAGAAAATATGCTTCAGATTAAACTGTAACATTTTGCCTCATCTCCAACAGCTACAAATATAAAATGTTGCTTGGACATGAATGCCTAAAAAGATGGAAAGACTTTTATATTGTTGTTCTTTTTTAAAAGGATCTGATCACTTCCTCAACCACTGGCTCAGAGCACGAGTTTTAATAACTCACTGTATCTGATTCATGTGATCTGTGATGAATTATTGAGCCAACAGACTCTGTGTCTAATGTTCTCCTTCACATTTCCAACATTCGTTTCATCGTTCACAATTAAGAGAACATGATCAGACAGAGATCTGGTGCAGTGAAACCATCTCATTAATCAGCTGCACGAGGAATCGCAGGAATGTTTAATGAAAAGTTTTCAATGTCTCGAGTGGTTCTCGAGTCATTTCTGGTTTCTTTTTGGTTGGTCAGTTTTTGTGTATTGCAAAGAAAATTTTAAATGAAAGGCCTCAGAGGAGATTCATCATGTTCAGTATGCCTCCTATTAAAGTGCCAGTTCACCCAAATTACACTAAAATAAATAATATTTTCTTACTTACGGCTAGTAATAATAATTATAATAACATATAATATATATAATAAATGTATTTATATAGCACCTTTTGTACATAAAATGCATCCTAAAGTGCTTTACATTATGGCAGTGAAACAAAACACATTAGATAAAATATATACATACACATACATGTCACTAAAGAGTAAAAGAGCCAATAAAAATACAAAAAAGCCGTAATACATAAAGTATTGGTGTTTATTTGAAGTGAATACTAGTAGAATTCAAATGGCTTGAGTATAATATTTTAAAATCTTAGATTTATTTGTCAGGTTAATAGTATTTAAACTCATTTTCGAACATTTTAATGACTGTATTTATATGTTTTTGCAGTAGAGCTTTAACACTCAAAACCTTCTCATTTTGGAACAGCATCTAAAGTTTCTCCTAACTTTTTGTTCAAGGTATGACGCACAGCAGAGGTGGAACTATTTGGGGAGACGGTTTCTTCTTCGTCAGACTTTCTTGGGACTGATCCGGCTGCAGTATGGCTCTGCTCATCCACCTGCTGGCCTGTGCCTTTGGCCTGGGCTCTTGGGTGGCGGTGAACGGTCTGTGGGTGGAACTGCCGCTCATCGTCAACACTCTGCCGGAGGGCTGGGAGCTCCCCTCCTACCTGACAGTCATCATCCAGCTGGCCAACCTCGGACCTCTGCTGGTCACCCTCATGCACAAACTGTGCCCGGGTCGCCTTAAAGAGCACATTGTCATTTACTCCATCCTCTCCATCGGTGTCCTCTCCTGCATCCTGCTCGCCTTCTTCTGGGATAAGACGACGGTAGTGGCCGGGGCATCACATAGCACCGCCTTCTTCATCATCACCTTCTTCCTCTCTCTGGTGGACTGCACCTCCTCAGTTACCTTCCTGCCTTTCATGATGCAGCTTCCAGCCAAATACGTCACCACTTACTTTATTGGAGAAGGGCTAAGTGGTTTCATTCCTGGCGTCATCGCTCTGGCACAAGGGGTGGGCATTGCCAAATGTGTCAACTCCTCACAGACTGCAGGAAACAACACAGGCGAGAACATGTGGTCAATACACACGGTGTATCTCCCTCCCAACTTTTCCACCGAGGTATTTTTCTTCTTTCTAGCAGCCATGATGTGCATAAGCCTGGCAGCTTTTGTTGCACTGAACAGGCTTCCTCGGACATACGAGCTGTCCACCGAAAACCTCGTGCCAGACACTGTGGCATCTGTCAGCTACGGCCTGGAGAACCCTGGAGCAGAGACCGATGGAGAGGGTGTGAAAGGCCAGTGTGAGGAGGCAGCCCAGAGCAGGCGTCTGCTGGCTGCCCCAAAACACTCTGTGTATCAGCTGACCTTCATCTACTTTCTTGTGGTGTGGGTTAATGCTGCAACCAACGGCCTGCTGCCCTCTGTGCAGACGTACTCCTGTATGCCTTATGGGAACCTGGCCTATCACCTCTCTGCTGCTCTGGCATCGGTGGCCAACCCAGTGGCGTGCACCGTTGCAATGTTCATTCAAAACAGGTAAAAATTGCAAGTTGCACAGGTTTAGATGGTTCATTAAAGGATAGGTTCACAGTTTTTCAAGTCAGTCAGGTGCTTATACGAACAGTGAAACAGGTTCTAGTAGCTTTAATCAATTCTGCCGTTCATACTGGCCATTAAGAAATCCCTTCGTAATGCTCTAATTAAAGTGACTCAATCCACAGTCCACAGTTGTTCTGTGCAAAGATATATTCCAAAGTTTACCTGAAGCTAATAGAGAGGAAGTGAAACTGGTTCTGTTCACACACTAATAACTAAAAGACAGGGACGATATAATATCGCTGTTTATTTAATATTTCTGTTTTTAGTGGCATTTAGAAAACACCATTACCCCTAAGCCCTAGACCAGGGGACTCAAACTGCTGGCCTGGGGGTCATTTCCAGCCCTCCATCCCCTCCGGCCCATCACATAATGTCAGAGATATAATATAATAATAAAAAATAATATTATTTTATTATTTTTAACTGTTGTTTCATATCAATTTTAACTCCCCCTTCATATGCAATTAAAATAAAAGCACAATTATATACTTAAAAATGTATTTAATTTGTATTTGGATAAAATAATAGCAAAGATCAACGGAAAATGTGTGCAAAGGGCAGCTTTTCTGAGCTTTAAATGTTGTTTGGCAGCAAAGAAAAACTAGATATAAAATGATGATGATATAAAAATATACAGAAAGTTTTTTACACTCTAAAAATGTCCATGTCAATAATGGAAATATGTTCAGAATATTGCACTTTCTTGTAGTACTTGAACGTTGAAGTGGCCCTCCTATGAGATGACAGTGGCCCCTGAGCAAATTTGAGTTTGAGGCTCCAGTCCTAGAACGCAGGTGAGTCCACTTGAGAGGTCATGGTTACCTCAGACATGTTTATGATAACAGCAGGACAGAGAGGACTGAACGCTGTAGAAATGTTTAGACAGAAGAGACTCTGACTAGAAAATCTACTTTAGAAGAGTGCTTTGGTGAATTTTATGGATATGAAACCAACTTATGATGGCTGGATAATTTTTATAGGCAGTTTTTGTTTGACCGATTGTTTAACTATGGGGCTGATTCGTCTCAGAATATAAAAAATAAACCCCAAAAACACGCTTCAGAAATACAAAAGAAAGAAATGCTGAATGAGAGATTGTTACATAAGCTAGTGGAACAAAAGGCTAAACAAGAAGTGACTTTGGTTCTCTATATGAGGATTCAGCAGTTTGTCTCACTGTCCCTCCACTGTTGTTCAGGAAGGAAGCAAAGTCCGGAGAAACTAAAAGAGGGAACCCTAAAAAAGTCTGTAACTTTGGAAGATATCTACTTCCATCCATTTGACGTATTCAGACTAGACTCCCATATTAATGTTCTAATTTCACTTCCATTAGAAGCTCATTAGAAAATGATCCTTGAATGGTGAGTATGAAAAGGAGGAATGATTAAAGCAAGAAAGAAACTGTTTTAATGTCCATGCGAGCACCTTTTAAGACACTTGAAGAACTGTGAACCAATTCCTTTAACTTATTTTTTCAGGGTGTCTCTGTCACTCAGATAAATGGCACATTGTTTATGTGGGATAATGAAAGTCAGACAGACTATCCTTTGAAATAGAAAGTGTCTGTTATCTGAAAGTGAATTAAAAAATAAAGAAACCGCCGCTGATATCGAACCTCTTGTTTTTAGGTCACTGGTCTTTCTCGGTGTCCTGACGGCGTTGGGGACGGGATTTGGCAGCTATAACATGGCTATGGCAGCTCTGAGTCCATGTCCCTTGCTTCAGGGGTCTGTGGTGGGAGAGATGATCATTGTAAGTGCAACACAAACAAGTTGTGATGACGCGTGGCTTGGAAAGACCATGACACACAAAAAACATTTCTCAGAGGCTTTATCAGGGAAATGTGTCAAAGTTCAACACCTGAGTATTGAGTAACCTCATAACTGCTTACTCATACCTGATGATGAGGTTACATATTTGGTCTGTGTAGTGATGATGAAATGTGTTTTTATGACCCAAATGATGTTAAACATTCCCCAGATTGTTATTCAGATGAGTACATTTTGTTATTCTGCCCTCGCCAGGTGCTCTCATGGCTCTTCTTCACCGGGACGCTGACTTATGTCAAAGTAATGGTGGGCGTCATCCTGAGAGACAGGAGCCACAACGCCCTGGTCTGGTGTGGGGCCGCGGCACAGATGGGCTCACTAGTCGGCTCGGTCACCATGTTCCCGCTGGTTAACACCTACCAGCTGTTTAAGTCGGGAGACTTTTGCAACACGAAATGTCCTTTATGACGGTTGATCTGAGACCTGCAGTACCGAGGAGGTTAAAGGAATAGTCAGACATTTGTGGAAATTAGATGAGAAGATCTCTCACTGTGTGTGTGTGAGTTGATTCCTTTAGCTTAGCTTAAAGACTGGAAGCAAAGGGAAACTGCTAGCCTAGCTCTGTCCAAAGGTAACAAAGTCTGCCTGCGAGCACCTCTCAAGCTTACTAATTAAACCGCTGGGGTTTTATGTCTAAATCTATTTCTTTCATTTGTACATTATTGTTTGTGTACGGATTAAATAAGTTAATTAGTGAACTTGGTGCTTGTAAGCTGACTTTATACTTTGGACAGAGCCAGGCTAACTGTTTCCCCCTGTTTCCAGTCTTTATGCTAAGCTAAGCTAACTGGCTGCTGGCTCTAGCTTCAGGTTTAGCCTACCAACATGAGAACGGTATTAATGCTCTCATCTAACTCTTGGTAAGAAAGTAAATAAGCGTATTTCCCAAAATGTAAAACCACTCCTCTGATGTTTCTCTGTAGGACAAATCCAGCCTTTTGTTAAAGAAGACATATTTTTGCATTTATTTAATTTCCTTTGCAGCTTTGTGATTTTTTTAACCGTGTTTGTGTCAAAGTAATTTATAACACTATGATGGGAAAAGCTATTAACTTGTATAAATAATAAATATAAGAAAGTTCAACACTGGCTCCTTCATTCTCATAGAGCAGCTTCTTTCCAAAAGGTGCACTGCACCAATCATGAAACTGTCCGCTCATTCGTCCACTAGATGGTGCAAGCCCACTTCTATATATTACAACCTGTCACTCCACATTGTGCAGGCACCCAGTGACTACAAATCCCTGCCCATGAAATATATTTATACTGTGTACAAAAGATAGATTTTACACAAGTAAGCTAAAGATTTAATGTTGACATTTATACACCTACTATACGGGATGTTTCCGTTTAGATTTAAGCATGCATGTATAATATGATAGGCTAATAAAAAAGAGGTTATTGATGCATTTTATTTCTGTGAGTATGACCGAGAGAGACACGGACAGCTACATATAGTGTTCTGCTACCAGCTCAAGGACAATCAGTGGGATGTAATGTAGATGTCCAGGTCTTGTTGAAATACAAGTGAGAGTGGCCAATAGAAGTCCTGCAGTAAATATTAACTTTGTAAAGCTTAAATAGTTGAATTGCTGTTATTTTCAGTACCCAGTGGTTCAAAGTAACTCTGTAGATTTCAATAACTGTACTTAAGTACAATTTTGAGTTATTTTCTATTTTACTTTTAACTTCTACTCCACTACATATATTTTACAGATATAGTTAGTGGTTGTACAAGCATGAGTTTATAACATATAACAAACTAGAGACATTTACTCCTCACTTGAACTCCTCACTTGATTTATTTAAATAAACATTCAAGGCCCGAAGACGCAAAGTTATCCAACAATTCACTGAAAAGCAAAAATTAGAGAAAAGTCCAAAAAAATTAAATAACAGGTGACATTTTTCTGCAGAACTACTTTTATTTTTCACACTTAAAGTACATTTTGCTGCTTTTGACTGCAGGATAGGAGAATATTTACATTATTGTATTAATACTTTTAGGATCAGAGTGCTTCTTCCATCTACCTTCTACTGGGTATGCCTAATATTTTGTCACCATCCTTGTAAACAGATCACAAGTTTTTTTTCTCATTCGATTTCCATAATTAAAAGGACCATTATAAGTGATGAAGACTACAGACTGAACTAGTCGTGGAAATGGTCATGAACAAAAAGAAAGAGAAGAGACAAGATAAACAGCCATGAGAAACCAGACAGTGATCCCTATAATACGTCTGATCCAAACCCCCCCCCCCATCATCCCCATCAAAGATGCTGCCGCACATCCTCTGAGGAGGACGGAGGGACGCTGGTCATCCATGGGAACCGCAGAGTGGTTTCCCATCAGCAGCTGTTCATCCTCTCTGCCCCCTTGCCCTTCAGAAGGAGAGCGAGAGGTTCCCCGGCCTGGAGGAGGAGGAGGAGGAGGAGGAGGGGGGCTCTAATTACTGATGCTCAGCGGGGGCCGATGGCTGTTGCTCCTGCCGCTGGTCACTTGGGAGCTTCCCTGACCTCGACACTGAGTAAAAACAAAAAGATAAGGAAGGGAAAATGGGGCCACAATTAGCCCTATGTAGCCTCTAGGGCCCAGGATCAGTGGAGGAGAAGCACAGATGGGACTTTCTCACTTGGATTTGTTGGATATACATTGCAGTATTGTGTTGAGCTGTACAGAAATCACTGCAGTCGGGTGTTGATGCACATTTGAATGATGGGTTAGAATGAAATATACAGATTTATTGTTTTTGTCTTGAAATAAAAAAATTTGAGCGCGGTCCTGAACTAGGACCTGAAGATTGCATACTAATGCTGCTCTCTTGTTGCTAACATGACCTTGAGTATTTACATGTAATCAAAAGGATTTTTCCCTAAGCTTCATTAGCTAAATTCCTTGATTGGCTCGGGGCTTTTGTGTCGGGACAAAACAAAGCAGCAAAGAAAAGTGTATCTTTTTCCTGCGAGTGTCAGATGGTCCCATCGCTCCTCCAGCTGGTCAGGAGGGGCTGTGGCCACCTGGATGCTGTGTCCCGGTGCTGTGAGATCCTACAGTCTCCTCTGCCATGTGAAGACTCCACTTACTACGCCACTGAGAGGTCCATCTGCTCAGGACGACACCTCCCAAAGAGCCCCCCCCACCACCACTACTACCACCACCACCACCACCAAAACAGCTCCCCTGCCTCCAGCCAACCACTGTGCCTCTCAGCTAAATGAGCAGCGTGTCAAATGGAAGGAGGATTTACCCTTCCTTTAACTGGATAAGAGAATGAATTCACAGCCCCGTGATGCAATGAATGAATGAACCCACCTGCACCTCTGCTGCTGAATCGACAGATATGTCACCTGTGTCGGACATTGCACGTTCTTCTCGTTCTGAGGCACGAATGCAAGGTTCACTGAGTAGCATGTTAACATTTGACACAACGTGAGAGTGCGGCCACGCAAAGGGAAAAGCTGGTTTTTGTTTTGTTTTTTCTCGTTGACAAAAATAACAAAACAATGCTCAGAAAGTGTGGAAATTTTCTTGGGCGATCCCGCAGGCCCGACAGATTTTGGCAGCTGATGTTCAGGTGAACAGCTTGTGGGTAAACCAATTGCTGATGCAAGCAGACAATTCACAGACAGGCACAGCTCAAACAGCATCTCTCTCATCAATTTCCACACACACCCCATTTAATAAATGCTGTCCATTTATTTGAAATTGAATGTGACAGCCCTCTGTCATTTCACTATAGTGTCTCGGAGCAGACAGTGATGCACATGGGCCCACTCCTCGTTTTCTATCAGCAGGTATTGATGTTGCTTTAATGAAGTGCCTAGCACTCCACCCTAGGAAGAGACAAGTCTGTCAGCATATGTAAATGCTTCCTGCCTGTCATTGTTGTGAAGGGTTCAGCATGGGTCAGCATAGATTCCCCCTCTGGGAAGCCTTTGTTCTGGGGCCCGACTGTGCCACATGAGGAGCCCAATTACAGAGCCGCACAGCAGGACGGGGGTGCTAACTTGTTACCCTGCTGTAGTGAGCTAATTATTACCTCCACTCTGTGGGTAGTAAAGAGCCAGCGCATCATGGATGGGTAACAAAAGCTAGCTTGTCTGTATGCACGCAGCTTTTACATAAATGGGTTCCAGTATATGATAAGATGTTTCGCTTCGGTGAATTGGTTTATATTAAAGGCACCATTATCACAGTTTGGGAAAAGGTCATCCTAATTTTCCAGCCATAAATAGCTACTGAACTACTTTAATCCCAGAGGAGCTCCTGTGCATTGTCAATGCAAAGGCAATTTACAGGCTACAGACTGCCAACCACATAACCTTGATGTGGTGTCGAGAAATGATTTATGAAAATGCATCCTGCTCTCCCCGTCCTGAGTGAGACCTGGCTGGACCCAGAGTGTTGACACAAAGCCCATACGGCCGAGCAAACAGACACTCGCTGAATTATCATTCATATCATAACATCTCAACGGGCTTTTGTTCCCAGTTCCTGATGAGATATTGGCAGTCTGTTTCTCATCAAGCAGTGCAAGAGATTTGCCAGGTTTTCGCCGAGCAGCAAAATGTTTCAGCTGACGCGCAAAATGATGCTTTATGCTAATGCCAGTGAGGGGGAGATGTAAGTCGGGTATTTGATGAAAAGTAACACTGAGCAGGTCAGCCTAAATGTGTAAACACCTCTGAGCAGTAGCTGCGTTATGAGGAGTGTTTTGGAGGGCAGAATAAAGGGCATATTTTAGGAAAAAACACCAAACACACCTCTTGATGCGTATAGACGCCCCTTTCCTTCTTGCTATTAGCCCCCTCCCCTTATATCCAGCCCATTCATCTCCTTCTCCCCACCCCCAGTGACCAGTCTAGCCCAGCTGCTAGGGGCTACCAGTCCCCCCTCGTGTGTGGGGCCAGTCAAGTGGAAAATGGCTGCTACCGAGAGAGCCCACTTTAGAGAGCCATCATCCTTTGAAGGGGCATGATGGCCTTTGACAGCCGCAGTGTTAACATGGAGCCCACACGAACACAGCACTGCTATTATCGTGTTTACTAAAGCAAGAGGAGAGAAGAGGGGATCAAGGGGAGACCCTGTTGGTTGATGTTTGAATCCAGGGGTGGCAGGGTGCTAGTCTGAGCCACGCCACAGTGGCTTTGTGGGGAAACATGACATGGGATCACTCACAGCCAGGTGGAGATTGTAATTCAACACATCAGTTGAGCTTTTAGCAGGCAGATCATTCAGTGTGTGTCGTGGGGATGTGTTTTTGTCCTTCTCATGTTTTCTTATCTTGGTACAGTGTGACTAGCATTCAAACACTCACCTGTTTCAGGCAGATATGACAGGTAACGTAACTCCTGCGCTCACAGTTCAGTTGCTTTGGCACAAACTTCTAATGAAAAATTCTCAAAGCACTGTGTGCGATTCTCAAATGTAAAGTTCATTTTCTCACAACCATTCATGCAGTTCTTGTTGCTTTCACACAAATATCTTCAAATGTATTTTAAAGGCAAATATCTGTTACCAGATGAACACGAGTGTTTGGATGTTGAATAGCCAATGAGTGTGGAGGTGTTGTTTTTAATTTCTAAATGGTTCCTTATTTACATAAATTTGTTGCACTGAGACTGATAATTAAATTCATCTATTTCCCACTTCAAATGTGGTACATAAAGGGTTTTTAATATGAATAGAAACCTGTAAACAAACAGAAATTGTTAGGATATTTAACTGTAGTGTTGTGTCTACTGTCTCTAATTCCATAAATATTTGACCCTCTTAACTTAAAGGTCCAGTGTGTAACATTTATGCTCTATTGGCAGAATATAATATTCATAGGTATGTTTTCATTAGTGTTTAATAACCTGAATATAATAATTGTTGTGTCTTTGTTTCCTTATAATGAGCCGTTTTTATCTACAGAGTGACTAGGTCCTCTTCCACTTCCATGTTGAACCGGCATGTTTCTACCGTAGCCCAAAACAGACAAACCAAACACTGGCTCTAGATCGGGCCTTTAAAGTTTTCATACGAGTTATTGTCACTTTTTAAGTTGATATAGCAAACTTGTTGCCTCTGGCCATCTGAAT